AACATACAGACATATTGCATGCTTCAATATAGCATTACATGTTATGAAACATGACAAAATGCATTATGTTGATATAACACACATGTTATCTCATATATTTTATTTCAACATTGCCCATCATAAAGCAATTAAAAACAATTTATTAAACTTTAGGGTATAATGTAACATTTACATAAATAAGCAATTATTCAACCCTTATCTTATAAGACACGGCATTGAATCTATCAACACATAAGCTAACAATTAAACATGCTTATCTTATAAGACACATGTCATATTAATATACATTAATCTAATTAATCTTATCAAACACATAATTAACAATTAATTGTGTTCACACTACTTTTCCATATTTTTGGCACAAAGACAATTTTACCCTTAACTCTTTAAACAAATTATCTTAATACCCTTTATGTCCATTAATCACTATTTAACAAACACATATAACATAACAAATATGCCAATCAAGATCAAACAACCTTTTTGCACCTTACTAAAAATATGCAACTATTTCTCATATGAACAAAAACATCTCCATGTATCCATGAACATTTTAATCACTATTAAAACATTCATTTGAATTGTCTAAACAAGTATGCTCATTAATCAACAATTAATTAACAAACTTGTCATGGCCAAAATGTCACATAATCAAAATCATGTGAACAACATCAATTTTCATCAAAATTGACATAGTAGCATCCATACAATGTCCTAACCTCAAGATCTTATTCTTCAAGCCATAAATATTGAACAAGCAACATTTTAACCCAAAACTCATTTGGCCAACTTCAATCAAACACTAAAATTTGCATTAATATTGATTTTTGTGCCATAACCTTCATGTTCTCAAACAAAAGTCTAAGAATTAATTGAAATAAAAAAAAATTTCAAACACTAAGTCATGGCCGAATTTTGCTAGTCCACTAAAATGATTAAAAACATTTTTATGGCATATTAAGCATACATATGCATGATCTACAATTCTTACAAAGCAAGTTATCACAAAACTTCACAAATCAAATTTTGAAAAATTACAACTCACTTCATCATATGAACATGAATTTTTGGCCAAGTTTAGACAATAAGGATCATCCTGGCTCTGATACCATTTGAAAGATGGATCATGAAGAATCAAGCATATCATGCTATAAACAGTAGTCATAGTTTAAAAAAAAATTCAATCAAATTAAATAAGTAAGGTAGAACATGTTACCTTAAGTCCTTGCAACCTTGGAGACTCTTATTTCAAAAGAAATTACAAAAGAGTATCCACACCAAGGGAGAAGAGATTTGACCAAGAGGGAGATTTAGGTTCTAAGAGATTTTTTTTTTTTACCCAAAAATTGATATACATTTTCTTTATATAGAATCCTTGTAAACATTCAATAATTGTTTTGGACTTCCTTACACATTCCATAATTGTTATGAAGTTGTTAAACTTCTTTAATGATAACATTGGATTAACATTTAATCACAATTAACAATTTAACTCTTAAATTGTTTACATAACATTTAACCCTTAATTTGTTTGCAATTACACCCCTTGTAAATCCAATTTAATATAAAGAAAATGATTAATATAATACTTTATTACCTTTGGTAGGTGCTAGCCAACCTTGGTAATCAACTCTCTTTGGCTATTTCTTCATTCTCCTTAGTTTTTTAGTGTGACCCTCTAGGTTTACTGTGGCCTAGCCGTGGCCCATATCACAGACTATTTCGATTTGTTTTGTCATAACTCTTTATGAACAAAACTCCCACTGATTATGGTAGGCATCTAGCAATGCTCCATCCCCCTAAGTCACAATGAAGATATACTCCACGAACCTTTTACAATCATACATGTTGTATATCAAATCCTTCCGTTTTCTAATCCTAATTAAGAATGGATTCATGGATGTCAAAATCCTTATCTTAATTTTAATTCAATACTATGGAACGTGTCACCATGAAACAACCTTTCATGAAACATTTTATATACCCCGGCCGGAGATTTCCCTTTTCCAATGTATCTTGACATTTGTCTAGGACTTGATATCAATCTATACCAAGTCAACGGATCCCATCTTGACTATCACTTGTCCTCACACATAAACAACACATGGCCAAATCGGCTTATTAACACATGGCATGATTAGCCTCATGTTATACATCATATGAACCATATGCGTTTATGCAGAATCCAACCGTGATATCTCAGGTCTAGATTAAAAATACCCTAGTATATCTTATGAAAAATCATTGACTACATTTTAATGTCCATGTGATTATCATAAATGGCCATATTCAATAAACAGTTCACTAACCTATCCATGCTAATGCCCTAGGTATAACTTTTATAATCACCACACCAATACCATCACATGATATTCTACGGAGCATTCACATCCTACTATGTATATTATTGCCCAATTAATATTACCTATGTAGGGAATACTTTGATGATTTTGATCTTCTAAAGATTTGTATCATCCGGACATTTCACATGTAATACATATATATAAATGAAGCAATAAACCACATGTGAAATAAGAACACTTTCTTTTATTGATAAGATAAAATGTATATACAAACTATATACATTCACATATATATACAAAACATAATGCCTTGGAACCGATGACACATTGGTTCCTAGGGCATACACTAACAGCCACTGCATGGGATATCATTTTGTCGTGCTGATAAGTGGCTTGGGTGGTAAGTCGTTGCTCCTCACGAAGTAACTCCCCAAAACGATATCCAAAGATGGCACAAGATTGCGATTCATCAAATTAGAGCGAGTGGCTTCAAATTCAGTTGTAACTTCATTAAAAATTGATCTCGCTTGCTTTGCGCATGACTTTCCTGACATCTAGAGATAATCTTCTGGTACCTTGGCATAATAATGTCAGTAAATTCTCCCCAGAATTATTAAATCCAGAAAAATAATCCTAATGGAGAGATCACCCTGAGTATAACTAGCAATCTCGTACTCTAATTGAGACGTCGAGCATATTGTCTTGATTATGACTCTTTTTAAGTATTCCCACGTAGATTTTGCAGTCTTATATGACCTTAGATTAAGAACAATAATAGGATCCACTGATCCTAAAATCCATGTCATCACCCGAGCATCTTTGGTTTGCCACTGAGCTAGTTTAGAAACATCTTAGGAGCCTTATCACTCCTATCCATTGACCCCCATAACTCTTTCCCCATAACAAATAAACGAAATTGAAATTCCCAGGCAGAATAGTTCTTACCCATGAATTTCACTGCAATAAAATCAGAAGACATGATAGCCGAATTAAACACTAACAAAAAATAGCCAATAACCAGCCCAAGAATAATCCCAAACAGTATCAACCAAACAATTTCAGAAAAACAAACTAGAACGATACCTGGCCAAAAACTTCAACAATCGATACCCAAAAATATTGAATCCCCAAACCACCCCAGAAGAGATCGACCACCACCAAGGAACCACCACAAACTGCCGACAAACGCAACACACCACCAGAAACTGTCGACAACCTCAAAACCAAAGATGTGCCACCAAGAAAGCACACCCAGAATGCGTCGAAAAACTCCAAGAAGCACTCAGACAGTGACAAAAATACCAAGAAGTCCCAAAAACAACGCCAATAGCACCCAAGAGGAAGCCCAACATGACCAAGAACACCGAGAAGAAAAAAAAACAGAAAACCCATACAAGAAAGGTTTGTAACTTAGGAGCCTAGCTCTGATACCATGTCAATTGGATTCAATGTCCTCTTAGTGAGGATTTCTTCTCATTATATAGGCACAAATGTGCAATATACAAGGCTAAAATCAAGCCTGAATTACAGCCGAAAATCTGCCTAAATTACAGCCGAAAATCTGCCTAAATTACAGCCATGAAATCTGTTTATACCAAAACTATACATATTCTGACTAAATAAGGAAGTGTATATATGTACAACTGGTGAAAACCATTAAGGAAAGCGTATCATGGTGACAATTGGTAATTCTGATTCATTTAGAAAGATGATATCCAAGTTCGAGTCAAGAGGAACCTGCTCTCAGCCTCACAATGTGAGGTGAGTAAGAAATAAATTCAAGACTCACCTAATGGGGTGGTTAGAATAATATGTGATCATTGTAACTCTCGGAACCCATTAGAAGACTATTTAAGGTGGGTAGATCAATTCTCTGTATCTATAGAAGACAGTCAAAACTGCTTCTTTGATTGTTGTCCAGATAGGTGTTTTTTATCTCTTACTTCACTGTAATGGACATTTAAGTATTGCTTAGATCAACACAATTAGCCTATTATGGAATAGCTTTTGTCTGAAATTGAGGTGAAGCTCAACGTGTCTTTAAGTATGAGTAATGCTATGCTTACTTACCATCTTACTAACCATCTTATTATCCTTTGAAAATATAACGCATAGTAAAGGTACTATGTGTAATTTTAACAAAGGTAGTAAATCGATTAGTAAAACTCGTGAGTAAGCATAGTATTTCTGCTTTAAGTATATGAGTTTAATATAGCTTAACCTTTCAGCGCAAGTACGATGGTTGTCCTGGGCCCGACCTGTAACTGGGGACGTGGCTCTAAAACTATGCCCTGGCCCGTGCCCATGCCCGCAAACAGCAGGTAATGCTCTGCTTTTATGGATTAGGCCGGTGCAATTGTCATCTCTAACAATTAACCTAGTATGGAATTGCTTTTGTCTGAATTTGGGGTGAAGTTCAATGTGTCTTTTAAGTATATGAGTTTAATGTAGCTTAACCTTTCAGTGCAAGTGCTTTCCCAGGCTGTCTCTTTCCCTCACCTTCCATTAAAGTCTACATCAAACTAATAATATGGCATAATGCTCAATGGGCCCTTGGAGAAGAGTGTCAACGTGTCATCTCTTTATTCTCTGTCCCACAAATTTGTCCAGACTCTCACAAGAAATAGAAATGGCAGCATCATCAACACCTGCTGGCATTGAAAAATCAAGATTTCTTACGGAAATTTCCAAACTAACCCACCTAACTGTCAATTTTTAATCACCTTAAATGGTCCCGGTTCAATGTATTTTAAGTTGATACAAAGATCATCAAACACAGCCAATAGTTTCTTTTACCATCCATCACAGTGTCTACAGATTCTCCAACCATGGCTGAAGTTGATCCAGCCTTCATTCAACCAACCGAATTCCGACCAAAAGTCAAAGTCATTGAAGCCGATGAAATCCCGGTAATTGACCTGTCCGGTAACACCAATGATATTGTCTTGGAGATTGGCCAAGCGTGCAAGAAGTGGGGATTTTTTCAAGTCATCAATCATGGAGTGCCTTCGGAATTGCGCAAAAGAATGGAAAGGGTGGGCAAAGAATTCTTTGATCAACCAATGGAGGACAAGAAGCTGGTGAAGAGAGATGAAGTGAATCCTATGGGATACTATGATAGTGAACATACCAAAAATGTTAGGGACTGGAAGGAGGTGTTTGATTTATTGGTGAAAGATCCTTCCTTTGTGCCGGCTTCTCATGAGCCTGATGATGAAGAACTAAGGAAGTTGACAAACCAATGGCCGGAGTACCCTTCTGAATTTAGGTAAAACAACTCATCTTTCAAAGTACAAAACTGTTTTCTTGTTGCAAGAAATGAATTAAGAAATCTATTTTGCTTTCATTGTATTGGCAGGGACACATGCAAGGAATATGCAGGAGAGGTTGAAAAACTGGCTTACAAATTGTTGGAATTTATCTCCCTCAGCTTAGGCTTGCCTGCAAATTGTATGCATGGCTATTTTAAAGATCAAATCAGCTTTATGCGGCTTAATTACTATCCTCCTTGCCCTTCGCCTGATCTAGCTCTAGGTGTTGGTCCACACAAGGATGGAGGTGCATTAACTGTTCTTTCTCAGGATGATGTTGGTGGGCTTCAAATTAAGAGGAAATCAGATGGAGAGTGGATTCCTGTCAGACCAATCCCAGATGCCTTTATTATTAATCTTGGTGATGCTACTCAGGTACTTTTCATTAATTTTTCGAAGTTTTCATTTAAAGTCTAGTTGTTAAGGCTACATTGTGAGTGGTGATCTTTTTGCAGGTTTGGAGCAATGATATATATGAAAGTCCAGAGCACAGGGTGGTGGTGAACTCTACAAAGGGAAGGATATCTATTCCTTTCTTCTTCTTCCCTGCCCATTATGTTATGTTGAAGCCTTTTGAGGAGCTTGTAAATGAGCAAAATCCTGCCAGATACAGAGAATTCAACTGGGGCAAGTTTTTTGCTACTAGAAATCGCAGTGATTACAAGAAGCGAGATGTGGAAAACATTCAGATTCGCCATTTCCGGATTTAGGAGTAATCATGGCCAAGTGAGTTTGGCTAAATTTACTATCATAACTTGTATTAGCTTCATGTATATAATGCTTGCATATTGTTAATAAAATATATGCTTCTTAATCTGAGTAAGAGTTAAGAAGAATGTGATGAGTGGAGGCCTCATCTCCGTCATCTTTAGTCTTTACCTAGTAACATTGACACTGTTTAAAAACTTCTCACTTTTCACTGTCTTTCTTTCTTTAATTTCTGGTAAGAAAATTGACTCCCAGGATATGTAGAGGCAGAGATGCCACGAAGTTACTAAGGACAGAAATTGATAAAAAGTTGGATCATATTTTCCATGGATTGAACTTGAATTAGCCAAAAACCGCTAGCCTTTCGCGGCAACATTTCAAGAGAAGATGCCGGAGTTAGGCCTAACTCCTCACCCAACAAGGGTTTATTGAATGGGAGGATTACCCCCGTTGGTCAAACTCAATTCATCTGGCTGACTTTGATACCACTTGTTGGAGTTGGGTCCAACTCCTCACCTAACAAAGCCTTATTGAATGAGAGGATTATCCCCTCTTATAAACCAGATGACTTGAGCGTGCTTAGTCGATGTGTGATCTCCAACAGAAGATTTTATTTTTGTTACAAGCTTGCATCTAAACCAGTTACCATGTTAGGACTGCACAAAGTGCTAGCTAGGAAGAAGCTATGCTAGCAAGAAGGTTATCAGGACAACCCTAGCGAGAAGAAAGATCATCAAAGCAAAACTTGGTTCAAATACTTTCAATCTTTTTCCTTATATTTTTCTTGTTTATATCAACAGCCACACATAATGTAAAATCTTCATCTATAATAAATTTCTGAGACTAGAAAGAAATAGTCCATCTGGCACCTAAGGGCATACAAATCCAAGATTAAACAGGATAAATGGTCTGTACTCAGAGTAGGACAAGAAATATCCTTTATTTTGTTACACATGTAACATTACTACAATACTTGTATGCTCTTCTCCTCATGTATATCTACGCATGGCATCTGAAGGCCACAAATTATTTTTATTTTGCCAAGGATAGAGCTGCTTTTTAAGTTCTTTGACCATTCTGGTCACTCTGGAACTCTGAAGTGATGAACTTGGATGTTTTCCACATCAAGCTTCTTGAAATTACTTTGCATTCTGGTAGCTATAAACTTTCCCCAGTTGTATGCCCGATACTTGGCTGGATTTTTCTCGTTTATCAGCTCATCCAGGGGCTTTACCATGGTGTAATGCGCTGGATTGAAGAAGAATGCAATAGAAAACCTTTCCTTCTCTGTGTTAACTACTACTCTATGCTCCACACTCTCATAAATCTCATTGCTCCAAGCCTGCATGTTCAAACCTTTCCATTAATCACCAAATTCTGTATAATACTGATTCTTAATGCTGAACTTGTAAAAACCTTTTGTACCTGGAGAATGTCACCAACATTTATGATATAAGCATCCGGGGTGGGCTTCACACGAGTCCATTCTCCATCAGACTTGCGTTTCACTTCAAGTCCTCCAACATCATCCTGAGCCAGGATGGTCAGGGCACCAGAGTCCTTGTGTCGTCCAACTCCCAGAGCCAAATGAGGAACCGGGCAAGGAGGATAATGATTGAGTCTGATGACACCGGTTTGGTCTCTGTAAAAGTTACAGAAACTGTTTGCTGGCAAGCCGAGGCTCAGGGCAATAAGTTCCATCAATTTGTAAGCTAGTTTCTCTAAGTCTTTTGCATATTCTTCACAGGCCTCTCTGGTTCAGAATGTTCATCAAATATAACTAAAGAAAACAACATATACAAAATCTTTGTAGAGTTTGAAAAATAATTACCTAAATTCTGGAGGGTACTCAGGCAACCGATTAAACCACTCCACGACTTCCTTGTCATCAGGCTCAGAGGAAGCTGAGACTAACGTTGGATTCTGCACGCCGTAATCAAACAATTCTTTCCAGTCTCTAACGTTCTTGGTGTGTTCAGTATCATAGTAGCCCAAGGCGTTTGCTTCATCTCTCCTAACCTTCCTCTTCTCCTCCAACGGTTGAGCGAAAAACTTTCTTGATGCATTCTCAATCTTGTGGCGTTTCTCCAGGGGCACTCCATGGTTGATCACCTGGAAGAAACCCCAGTTCTTGCATGCATTGCGTATCTCCAAAACAAGGCCATCAATGTTGTGGTTATCAGGAGAGTTCAAAACTGATAGGTCAATTAAGGGTATGCCTTGGGCTTCAGGAACTGAAAGGTTAGGTCTGTGTTCCAGGGCTTGGATGAAAGATTGATCAACTTCTCCCGGCATGGTTTATAACTTTTATCTCCTGATAAATGAAATGACATTGATTGGAGATTTTGTGTATGGTGTCTTTTATAATGTAGAAGAGTTGGGCATGTAGGCTTTGAATGTGGACAAGTTTTAGAGTAATATTAGGAGGTAAATGTGGTACTGTTGGTGATGAAGTGTGTAGCAAAATTTGTTTTAGATAATTGTGACGCCAGTGCTTGCACTTGCATGGTTTGAAGTATTTTTTGTCAAATTTCGGATTCAACAAGGTATGTATTGTCAGTTCGGACTCAACAATCTCAATCTGTTTGTGCTGATGAAGGGGACGATGAGCCTGAATTTGGAAGTTATTTCCGGGACTTGCAGGTGTTAGACCGGGCTAGTGTTGACATTTTCTTGCATGGATTACTTGCCCCTGATTTCGGGATAAATCTGGGGTTGGAAATTGAGACTTACACGTATCTCAACTAATTTTTTACGGCCCTGAAGTGAATAATCGGGTAAATCCCCTCAGTGGTAACCTTTATTAGTGTCTAGAGGGACAGCTTACATATATCTCAACTAATCTCCTAAAGCTCTGAAATAAACGATCGAATAAATCCCTTCAATGATCATTATTATTAGTGTCTAGGAGGACTCGAACTCAAGAATTTATATTGTATATTTTTGTTTTTTTACCATCAGATCAGCCAGTAATGGTTCTATCTATACAAATGTTTCTAAATCATTCCCTCATCCTGTCCAATGAATTATTAAGATTCGTTTTCAATAGAATCTTGTGCATTAATTCCAGATTACCTTATTTGATAATTGTATTCTTAATTAATTTAAGGACACTGCTTTGGATAAAGACCAATTACTGCTGACCACCCAAGAGTGGTTGACGATGATATCTTAATCTTAGTAAATTTTTTTTGTCAAAATTAAACAGCTGATTATTCTTTATTTAATACTGCAATCATGCAAGCGCATACGTCACTTAATCACTTGATCTTCAATGGTGAACAGAAGCCCGGCCACCTGTTATGTAAAGACAAGTTTCTCTGTGATCAAGGTAAACGATAAGAGTAATCCTCCTTAATTTTCAAGATAAAATTTGGCCACTACCTACCACCTGCCCCAATAAGGTGTCCAGGTTCATTCCCGGTCTCTCTGACCAGAAATAAATAACGATCATTTATCACTATCAGAAGTCACAAGCCATCCGTTGCAGTCCGTGAACAAGCCACAAATCAATCACCATGGGAGAAGTTGATCCAGCTTTCATTCAAGCCCCTGAACACAGGCCTAAACTCTCAGTTATTGAAGCTCAAGGCATACCCTTGATTGATCTCTCAGTGTTGAACTCTTCTGACGACACCATTAATGACGATGCTCTTGTTGCGGAGATAGGCGATGCATGCAAGAAGTGGGGTTTCTTCCAGGTGATCAACCATGGAGTGCCCCTGGAAAAGCGCCAGAGAATAGAGGAAGCAGCCAGGAAATTTTTCGCCCAGCCCCTGGAGGAGAAGAGGAAAGTTCGGAGAGATGAGAAGCAGGTGATGGGGTACTATGATTCTGAGCTTACTAAGAATGTAAGAGATTGGAAAGAAGTGTTTGATTTAACTGTACAGGATCCAACCTTCATCCCAGCTTCGCCTGACCCTGATGATGAAGAAATAGATGAGTGGCATAATCAGTGGCCTGAGTATCCTCCCGAATTAAGGTAGTATTTATTTGCAAGTTTGTGAATTTTCTTTTTTGTTAGAAGTTGAATTTGTTTGGTATCTTCAATTTGCTTGGTTATGGTTGACATGATCACCTCCTTTCAGTTAGTTTTTAAAAGTGAGTTTAAAAAAAATCCATTTATCATTGTATAAGAGTCACGAATTTGCAGGGGGTAATGAGTTTGGATCTTGGCCTTACTCTTTGCGCCTTAGGCGAGTATTAAAAAGAGCGAACGACTTTTTTCCACAAAAGAAAGTATCAAGATACCAATTTTTTACTCAAAATTTATATTCTTTTAATACTTAAAATACATTTTACATTCTCAATTGATGTTCGGTGAGCTACCAGGAGATAGTGTGAGAGGGGTTCCGCAGAGTAGAGGCCGATGGATCGAATGGTAATGACTGATTGAATATTCATTGTCTGAAATCAACCGAAAATCAGCTAAGAATAGAGAAATTAGGTTTTGGGAGTAAGAGGAGTTTTATAAGGAGGAGATCGGAGTTCAAATGGTGGTGACGGAGATAACTTTTGCTACCACAATCGGTCATAATTGGCTTTGGGTAGTAATAGAATATAAACTTTGGGTGAAAAAGTGTTATTTTAAAACTTTTTAGGTGGAAAAGTGTCCTTAAGGCAAACCTGGGTGGGAAAAAGTCTTATGTATTAGTCACTTCATTTATGTGATCTAATAATGTTGTTTCGCCAGGAAGGCATTTGAAGAATATGTTAAAGAGACTGAGAAGCTAGCTTTCAAGCTGATGACTTTGATTGCTTTGAGTCTGGGGTTGCCTGGAAATAGATTCCAGGGCTTCTTCAAAGATCAAACCAGCCGCATTAGACTCAATCACTACCCGCCTTGCCCCGCCCCTCATCTAGCTCTTGGCGTTGGTCGACACAAGGACAGCGGGGCCTTAATAATCCTCGCTCAAGATGATGTTGGAGGACTTGAAGTGAAGAGAAAATCCGACGGCGAGTGGATTCGTGTCAAGCCCACCCCGGATGCTTATATCATAAACGTTGGTGATATAATTCAGGTTAAAACTACTTCTAATCAACTCAAACATAGATTAAATGTAAATACGCTTTGTTGAATTATGTAATCTGACAATGTGCTTGTGCAGGTGTGGAGCAATGAAGCTTATGAGAGCGTGGAGCACAGGGTAATGGTGAACTCAGAGAGGGAAAGATTTTCGATTCAATGTCTTAAACCCTGCACATTACACCAACGTGAAGCCCTTGGATGAGCTGATAAATGAGTTGAATCCTGCCAAATATAGAGCATACAATTGGGGAAAGTTTTTTGCAACTAGAAAGCTGAGTAATTTCAAAAAGCTCAACGTTGAGAACATTCAAATCGCTCATTTCAAGATACAGGTGATCAAACAAGCTAGAGGGAGGTCTCACTATCAATTAGGTTGATTTCTGTGCATGATTCCCAGCTGTAGATATAGCGAAATGTGCTCCAATAATGTCATATGTGAATGGCAATAATGGATTTGATGGAAATATCTTTCTGGATTTTTCTAATTAAATTATGAATGGCCCATCTACCATTTGAGCTATTCAAGACATTATGGAACAGCTACTCACATTATTTGCAAGAGTTAACTACATTCTGCCCTCCAAGTTTAATGAAAAAACTTTTTTTCTCTCCAATTTTGGGAAGCAAATCCCCCGGCGTTTCTAAGTTTGGTTTTGTCTCTTTTTTTTTTTTTTTTTTTTTTTTTTTTTTTTTTTTTTTTTTTTTTTTTTTTTTTTTGTGGCTAAGTAAGTAAATTGTATTAAAAAAGAAGAATTTACAAAGGCCTACAAAAAAGGGGGCTAACCTACATCAGGACATTCTCACGTAGGGTGCAAAAAAATAAACAAATGTCTAAGCTTAACGCTACAAAATTCTCTTGGGAGCCTATTTAGACCAACATGGGAGATAAAGCCCAAGAGAAAGAATCTAGCTAAGAAATCAACAACAAAACACCACCCTTAGGACAATCCCCTGGTTTTGGCTCCAAAAAACACATACAATGAGATACAAAGAAGACTCAAAGCAAAGAAAACAAAGAGAGTGAAGATACACTGCGGCAACGTCTTCACAATAACAACGGGCAAGTCAATAAGTCTCTCATTGAAAGAACAACATCTCACCCAATCACATGGTCATCAATAACGCCGGGAGTGGAATGAGTGTCTTTGAAGATGGTTCTAGGAAGTCCCCATGTATTAGCCAACTTCCTATTTTTATAGGAAGATTTAATATTGCTAAGGTCCATGGCTTTGTCTCTCACCATACTTTTGACAGTATTGATAATAGTGCGAGAATCCTTGGACTCTCCCCCAAAGATCCCACAATTTCGCTCCCTCCAAATTAGACCTGGCAAAATGGGTTGACACCCGTGGGTATGAGTAAAGGTTTTATAACCCGTCTTCATTCGACCCGTATCCGACCCTACCTGTTTTCAAAACGGTTAGGCCGAGTTCACCCGTGGGTACTCGTATTTAAAAAAAATTAAAAAAAAATTATTTTGAAAAAAAATGTAAATTAAAAATAATTATAGGATTAAATTAATGAATTATAGGGTTTCAAATTTCAATTAATCGAAACTTTCAAAAAGGAAAAAATAAATAAATTGAACTCTCTCATCTCACAACTCAAAGAGCCGCCACACACCACAACTCTCAAAGTATATCGCCATCACACCACGCACCAGACGCATGCCGGAGACAATTGCCGCTCTCTCATTGGTCATCTCTGTCACTCTCTAGTCCTTACACCTGTTGAGAGTAGCGCAAAAACAGTGTAAAGAAAATGGAAACTACAAAAAGCTAAAAATGGAATGACGCATTGTTGTATTTCTTTTCTGCATATTTTTGTATACAGTGCATGCAGATATTTATAGATAAAACAGATAAAAAAATAACAATAGCTGGCAAACATATAATAGATAAAGGAATAATAACAGCTGGCAAATATATAACAAATTGGACTTAACAAACGCAATAGAATGGCCTCATCGTCTTCACGTGACTACTGTGTTTTTATCAGGTGGAACCGAGGCTATTGTAGGTCCAATTGCATCCTCTAATCTGAACATCCCCCCGCAAGATGAAGAGTATATATTCAGTACTCCCATCTTGGACAAGAGTCGCGTGAGTGTTGGAGCATGCAGGGGCTTGGTAAAGAGATCAGCCAACTGCTCAGAAGAAGAAACGTGGGCAGTGGCAACATTCCCAGCCAGGACGTTGTCACGAACAAGATGGCAGTCCAACTCGATGTGCTTGGTGCGCTCGTGGAACACGGGGTTGGCAGCGATATGTATCGCGACTAAGTTGTC